AAAAAAAAAAAAAAAAAAATATATATATATATATATTTCCCCTTGTTCTTTGATTTTGCTAGGTATAACTATTCTTTCTAACTCATTTTTCTTTGTTATTATATTACAAATGTAGGCATGACCGCCCAGGTAATGCGCGGCCCTTGTTTTCCAAGACTGGTGTCCCAGGACCAAGACGCGTGAGGGCCGCCATGGAGCCGGAGCAGAAGCTGGAGGGCCAGACGCAGGTGGCAGAGAATCCCCACGCCGAGTACGGCCTCACCGACAGCATGGAGAGGATAGTGGAAAATGAGAAGATTAATGCAGAAAAGTCATCAAAACAGAAGGTGGATCTCCAGTCTTTGCCCACTCGCGCCTACCTGGATCAGACAGTTGTGCCTATCCTATACAGGGCCTTGCTGTGCTTGCAAAGGAAAGACCACCAAATCCCATTGAATTTCTAGCATCTTATCTTTTAAAAAACAAGGCACAGTTTGAAGATCGAAACTGATTAATTGGGAAGAACAGAAAAATTTGGTTGCTACTGTAGATTTACATGATTAAGAGGCAGCTTTAATTGCCATGATTATCCCTCTTTTTTTGGAAATGTAAGAACCTTCAGGACAGCAGAACTTATTTCCAGAGTTACAGAAGAGAACATATTTCCCTTATTCTGTTTTCATTACCATACTTATTTAACGAAAGTATTCTGTGCAATTTTTCCCAGATTGTCTTTAACTTTGTTTTTAAAATGTCCTTCAAAATAAACTGTCAGCCGGGCTCGGTGGCTCAGGCTGTAATCCCAGCATTTTGGGAGGCTGAGGTGAGTGGATTGCCTGAGCCCGTGGGTTCAAGACCCATCTGGGCAACTTGGAGAGACCTCATCTCTACAATAAGTCAAAAATTAGCCAGGCGTGGTAGCACGTGCCTGTAGTTCCAGCTACTTGGAAGGCTGAGGCAGAAGGATCACTGGAACCCAGCAGGTCGAGGCTGTGGTGACCGGGAGTGGCCACTGCATTCCAGTCTGGGTGACAGAGTGAGACTCCAACTCAAAAAACAAAAAAATAAACTGTCAAAATGTTATTTAAAATAAATAAATACGTACATACATACATACAAATGTATTCATAATAGTAAATTATAAATTGTTGTGTATTGTTATTCCTATTAATAGCATCAATAAATCTACATTAATGAATTGTGAGTGAATATTCTAAATGAAACACTTAATGTCAAAACCAGGTCACAGAGCCATGAGGTTGCAGCCAAGCCTTCCTGGTCGTGGTCCACAGTCATTCCACCAGTCCCTCTGCCCTTCTACTGAGGGCATATTGGGAGTCTTTGGCCAGAAATGACCTCCGAGGGAGGTCCTGATGGAATTCACAGCCTCAGGATGTATTCACTCCTGGGGAGCCGAGCAGCCCTCTTGGCTCTTCTTGACTCTGAGACTCTTCTTGACATCTGCTCCCCTAACTTCCGCCCAGGAACCCACAGCTGCCATCTGGAGCATAAGATCAACTTCCCGCTGGATGAAGAGCGCTGCCATGTTCCCCCCTCAGCCTCTTCTTCCAAATTAGACTTCAAATTGGATTAACTCCTCCTTATAAAATAGGATGTCCTGAATCCCTCACCATACTGGTGAAACGTCCCTGGATGCAAACTTCTCTGCATATTCCCAGGTGGATATACAATTCCAAGCACCCTCTAAATTGTTCACTGTACAGTGGAACTCCTCTTAGGAGCCAAGCTATGCTTTTTTGAGTCAGAGTCTCACTCTGTTGCCCAAGCTGGAGTGCAGTGGCACGCTCACAGCCCCTGCAGCCTCCACCTGCTGGGCTCAGATGATCCTTCCGCCTCAGCCTTCCAAGTAATTGGGACTACAGGCGTGAGCCACAGCACCCAATCTACTTTGATTATTTTAACATAAATTTGCATGTAGCTGGGCACAGTGGCCCATACCTGTAATCCCAGCACTCTGAGAGGCCGAGACAGGAGGATTGCTTGAGCCCAAAATGTCAAGACCAGCCTGGGCAACAAGGTGAGACCCCGTGTCTCCAAAAAGAATCAAAAAATTAGCCAGACGTGGTGGTGCACAACTGTTGTCCCAGCCACTCGGGAGGGTGAGGCAGAAGGATCGCCTGAGCCCAGCAGGTGAAGACTGCTGCAGTGAGCCATGATCATGCCACTGCACTCCAGCTGGGGAACAGAGTGAGATCTTGATAAATAAATAAATAAGCATTTTATTTTTGTTTTTTGTTTTGAGAGAAGTTGTTTGTTTAGAAATCTTTATCCTGTACCAGGTGTATACTGAGTTTGGTCCCTTGTATTAATAGTTGGAATTATCATGATTATATGAATAAATTTTTATTTAAATTTTTCAGAAAACACCTTAACATTTTTATTTAAATTCAGCATTCTTACTTCCCCAAGGTTAAAGAGGAAAGAACTACATGCATCTTACTATTGAATATTTTCAAAAAGTGTGCCGTCACTACAAGAGTAGGAGCCTTTTTAAAAATACTATATATTCAAAGCAAAGATGATTTTTTTCATCTTCAAAACACTTACTGGCTAAGTGCTTTGAAGAGGAGGACCATAAGAAAATAGAATGGGTCCTTTACCAACTGGATAGATCTCAAATAAGAAAGGTTTGACTAAACATTTGATCATCACAAGCTAAGCCAAGCAAGAGCTGCAGTCGAGGTGAGTGTGAAAGGTGTTTTACAGCCAGGCTCGGTGGCTCAGCCTATAATCCTGCGCCTTTGGGAAGCCGAGGTGAGTGGATTGCCTGAGCCCGTGGGTTCGAGACCCGCCTGGGCAGCGAGACCTCATCTCTACAATAAATCAAAAAATCAGCCGGGCGTGGTAGCGCATGCCTGTAATTCCGGCTACTTGGAAGGCTGAGGCGGAAGGATCACCAGAGCCCAGCAGGTCAAGGCTGCAGTGGCCGGGAGCAGCCACTGCACTCCAGTCTGGGCGACAGAGTGAGACTGCGACTCAAAAAAAAAAAAAAAGAAAGGTGTTTTAGGCCAGGTGTAGTGACTCACACCTGTAATCCCAGCACTTTGGGAGGCCGAGGCTGGAGGATTGCTTGAGCCCAGGAGTTCAAGACCAGCCTGGGCAACACAGTGAGACCACATCTCCACAAAATAAAAAAATAAAATAGCCGGGCACAGTGGCATGTGCCTGTAGGCCCAGCTACTTGGGAGGCTGAGGCAGAAGAACTGCCTGAGCCCAGGAGTTTGAGACTGCAATGAACCGTGAGCATGTCGCTGCACTCGAGTCTGGGTGACAGAATGAGACCCCAACTCAAAACAAACAAGCAAAAAAAGGTGTTTTATTATATCTTTGGGACTTAGCATGGTCCCTGGAACACAGCAGGCATTTTGGAATCAGGCCTTGTTTAGATGCCAAAGAGACACCTTCAATCCCCTACCCACATGCAGCCTACATCTGCACACACACACGTATAAGCACATGTATGGTGGTGCTATGCATCACTGAATTCATAAAAGCAAAAATACAGAAATTCTCCTTCTTCCTTCATTTTCCTTCAAAAAGAGCAAGCCAGTATAATCAGGATCTTATGGGCACAATTCTGAAATAGAAATGTTTTCATGGTTCATTATCCTTGAAGGATCCTTGGTGTTCTATGAATTACTTGGGCAAAGGAAAATATTTCAGGTCTGGGGTGGTGGGATTGGCAGTTGAGGGAAACTGCCAGGGGAGGGAGGGGCAAACCTCATCAACAAAGGTACTGGCATAGTGAACATTTGTATACCTAACCCTGAATTGTCCTCCACATCTTTAAAATAAAGGGGAAAAAAATACAACTTAGGTGTAATGACCAGATATGAGTAAACATCTTATTCAAAACAATGACAAAAATAAACATATCACAATAGACACATCATCTTGCATTGTCTACATAACAAAATAGGGTCAATATATTTAGTTATTTGTGCAGCTACAATAAGCTATGGGCAAGTGATACAGAGTTCAAAATTACTCATTTTATATCCTCTAAGCAATTAGTCAAAGAGTTCTTTCACAAGTCTTCATTTTATAAAGAAGGAAATTGAAGCCAACATATGTTAAAAGACTTGCCTAATGCAAGACAGTCAATGAAGGTCATTGCAGGGACTAGCCCTCCAGTGCCCCCCTCCTCAGTCTATGCTCTTTCTACTCACCCCAACTTCTCCCTGTGATGTCAGACAGAGGAAAAGAAGACAAACAACTATGATAGAAGGATACAAGAGATCATTTTAATGTTTCTTCTAAAACTCTAGGTCTGACATCAGGTTGAAAGAGGGAAAAGTTAAAATTCTTGCAGAACAGAGCATGCCCTAAAAACTATGGCTCTAATGCTCAACACAGCTTATAGCAGGTAAATGCTCAAAAATCAGTGGAATTCAACAAAATGTTTTCATTCACCCCAAACTGATTGTCACCAGTGTCAACAATTTATGCAGTTAGGAATCCCTGATAGCAGGCACAAATGCTATTAAAGGAAGAGGAATGAATGAGCATGATATTTTCCCTTTCACCTGCTTTTTTTAGTGAATAAATTTGGTCACAGTATTCAGTTCGAGTAGGAAATAACAGATGGGTATAAAAGTCCTATGTACATCTTTCTGATGCTATACTTCAATAACTTTTGTGAAAATTAGCCTGCTTTTAACTTAAATAGTCAAGAACACCTTTATCTTCTTTCAAGGTTTACTCCATCATCTATTAAAACTAACATTAAATCTTGGATTAGAATACTCATCCAGGCAATATCAACCACAAAATATATTGATGATTTTAAAGTCCTATGACTGTTTTATTGACACTCTTACTAGATATTATGAATATATACTTATATTTATATTAATATATATTTTTGGCAGGGGGTCAATTTCACTCTGTTACCCAGGTACACTCATGGCTATTGTAGCCTTGACCTGCTGGGCTCAGGTGATCCCTCCACCTCAGCCTTTCAAGTAACTGGGACTACAGGTACGTGACCCCATGTCCAGCTAACAGAAATTCTATATTTAAGATGAGTAGTGTTTCTAGGTAACACAGTCAATGTCGCCATTGCTCAAAATATTTTTAGAACCAGTCTTTAGGAAATGTCTTCAGAGTCAGGCTACAACGTTTCCAAGAAAATCACTTGAATTACTTGAAAGTCACATCTCATTTGTGACCAATCCTGATATCATCCAGTTCAACCATTCACTTACTTCAAACATTGGCCATCAACACTGGACTAAAAGTCCCTGGCAGTCCTAGTTTAAATCTCAGCTCTGAAACCTTCTACCTGCATGGATTTGAATAATTAACTTGCATTATTTTTTTATATTTTGGGGTGTGTTATTAAATTTTAGGTGTGGTTTTAACTAAATGAGTTTACCTTAAGTCTATTTTCTAACCCAGGTGTCAATAGAAGATGAATCATCTAAGAGTTGCACGCAGGTGGGCTCGGTGGCTCAGCCTGTAATCCCACACCTTTGGGAGGCTGAGGTGAGTGGATTGCCTGAGCCCGCGGGTTCGAGACCCGCCTAGGCAGCGAGACCTCATCTCTACAACAAATTAAAAAATCAGCCGGGCATGGTAGCCGGGCATGGCTACTTGGAAGGCTGAGGCGG